TGTGTCTCTATTTTCATATGTTTTTTTTTTCATTTAATTTCACTCTTTATCCGAAAGTCATTCAGAGAAAGGTTATTTAACTTCCATGTAATAGTATGGTTTTGATATATCTTCTTGGTATTGATTTCTATTTTCATTGAGCTGTCAGCTGAGAGTGTGGTTGGTATGATTTTGCTTTTATGAATCTGCTGAGACTTGCTTTACGGCCACACATGTGGTTGATCTTAGAGTATGTGCCATGTGCAAATGAGATGGATGTATTAATATATTATATTTTTGTTGGGTGAAGTTTTCTGTAGCTGTCTATTAGGTACAACTGGTCACATGTCAAGTTTGATCTGTCTAACACTGTAAGTGCAGGGTTGACCTCTCCTACTGTAATTGTGTGGTTGTCTAAATCTCTGTGTATATCTCTAAGAACTTATACATCTTTGTGCTCCAGGTTGGGTGACAGTATATATTTAGGATAGTTAACTCTTCTTGTTGGATTGAGTCCTTTTCATCATTATATAATTCCCTTGTTCATTTCTGATTGTTGTTGGTTTAAAGTCTGTTTTATCTTATGTAAGAATAGCGACCCCAGCTCTTTGTTTTGTTTTCTGTTCACCCGATAGATCTTTCTCCATCCTTTTCCTTTGGGCCAATGGGTGTTATTACTTATGAGATGAGTCTCTTGCAGACAGTTGGGACTTGCTTCTTTATCCAATTTGCCACCCTATGTTTTTTCAGTAGAGCGTTTAGACCATTTATATTCAAGGTTTGTATTTCAAATGAAAAGGATTTCATTTCTCCCTTGCTTAAAAAGCTTACTTTCGTGGGACCTGAAATTCTTGGAATTTCTTAAGAATGTTCAAAATAGGCCCCCAATCCCTTCCGTCTTGTAATGTTTCTGCTGAAAGGTCTGCTTTTAGCCTGTTGGGGTTCCTTTCATAGTAACCTGCCCCTGTTCTCTAGTTGCCTGTAAGATTTTTTCTTCTGTGTTGACCTTGGAGAACCAAATGACTATGTGTCTTGGGGATGGTCATCTGGTATAACATCTGACAGGGGTTCTGTGAATTTCTTGAATTTGCATGCTCACCTCTCTAGGGAGACTGGGGAAATTTTTGTGCGCAATATCTTAAATATGTTCTCCAAATTGGGTGTTCTCTCTTCTAATCTTTCGCGATTGCTACTGAGTCATTGTTTTGTTCTCTTTACACAATCCCATATTTCTCAGAGGTCTGATCATTAAACATTTTTTTCTATTTTTGTCTGCTTGTTTTGCCTTGATGGAGCAGTCTTCAGTGTCAGAGATTCTTTCCTCAGCTTGGCCTATTCTACTGTTAATGCTTCCAATTGTATTTCGAAATTCCTGTAGGGAATTTTTACTCCCAGAAGTGGAGTTGGGTTCTTTCTTGAAATAGTTATGTCATCTTTCAACTTGGATTGTTTTACAGCTTTACTTGGATTGGGTTTCAGCCTTCTCTTGTTTCCTGATGAGTTTCCTTGCCATACAAACATTGAATTCTGTTTCGAAGATTTCAGCCATCTCCATCTGGTTAAGCAGCATTGCCAGGGAGCCAGAGTGATCATTTGGGGGTAAGAAGACACTGGCTTTTAGAGCTGCCAGAGTTCTTGTGCTGGTTCTTTCTCATCTGTGAAGGCTGATGTCCTTTCTTCCTTTTAAGCTGCTGTACTTTGGCTTTATAATTTCATGTTTGAGGGTTTGACTGTGGTGCAATGTAGTTATAGATGAATGGCTTCATTTCCGGATGCTTTCAGAGGGCCAAGGCTCAGCTCCACACTCCTGGGCTGAGTGCTCTAACCCTAGGTGGTTGCAACTAGGCCTGTGGCTTTGTTCTCCGGTCTCTTGTAGTTGACCACTGATGGCCTGGGGGAAAAGGTGCTCCCAGACCACTGGCAAGAGAACTCCATTGGGTGCTGGGGATGATAGGGCTCTGGTGAGGCAACGAAAGGCTGCAAAGAGAAGCACTCCAGGGGGCTGCTGTGGGCGGAAATGCTTTGGAGGGTAGGTGGGGATTCCTTGGGCAGCAGTGCTTTGGAGGGGTCGCTGGCTGCTGTTTCTAATTACTTTTTCAAAGTAAATGTCTTTACAATCACAGATTCTCTGTTTTTTCACTTTACCTCTTTTTTTATTTTTATTTTTATTTTTTGAGATGGATCTCGCTCTGTCGCCCAGGCTGGAGTGCGGTGGCGCGATCTTGGCTCACTGTAAGCTCCGCCTCCCGGGTTCAGGCCATTCTCCTGTCTCAGCCTCCCAAGAAGCTGGGACTAAAGGCGCCCGCCACCATGCCCGGCTAATTTTTTGTATTTTGTTTAGTAGAGATGGGTTTTCACCGTGTTAGCCAGGATGGTCTCAATCTCCTGACCTCATGATTCGCCCACCTTGGCCACCTAAAGTGCTGGGATTATATGCGTGAGACACCGCACCCGGCCAACTTTACCTCTCCTAATGTATTTTTTAACAATCATATTCACGATAACATATTTTTAACAATACCTTGTCCTTCTCATTAGATGTTTTCTTTGTAAGCCTAAAACAACAAAAAGTTCATGTCAGGCAAACGACAAATATGTAAAATACAAAGAATATCTAAAACTATTGTCTTGTGTATAAAATCTCTGTATTTGTTATGTATTTCTCTTATTCTTAAAGTTTACGGGTAATTTTTTTTTCTTCTTTTGAGACAGAGTCTTGCTCTGTCACCCAGGCTGGAGTGCAGTGGCATGATCTCGGCTCACTGCAACCTCTGCCTCTGGGTTCAAGGGATTCTCCTGCCTCAGCCTCCCGAGTGGCTGGGATGACAGGTGCGCACCACCACACCTGGCTAATTTTTGTATTTTAAGTAGAGACGGGGTTTCACCGTGTTGGTCAGGGTGGTCTTGAACTCCTGACCTCGTGATCCACCTGCCTTGGCCTCCCAAAGTGCTGGGATTACAGGTGTGAGCCACTGCACCTGGCCTACAGGTAAGTTTTTTACAGGGAATGGAAAATACAATTATTTTATACAAGGGAGATTAAACTATAAACAGAAAAAGCTACATCAAGGGTCAAAGAAAATATACTGCTAATTAACTATACAACCCAAAATTAAATTTAGAGTAAGCTTTTTGACAGCCACAGCAAAAGGAAAAACAGGTTACTTGCATTATTTGATAGAAGATATATACCACTTTTTGTTATTGTCATTTTCAATGAAAACAAGCTATTTGGAAAATATTACTTATGTTCTTATATGAGAGAAACTCCTCTTAAATGTTATTACTTAGCTTTTCAGGCCTTAGTAGGCAGTTGGATGCTTTCTTCTAAGCCCTGTACATCTTGTAAAAATGCACTTGAATCCTCACTGCAATTATGTGAGGTGGGTAATGTATCAGCTATTTTATAAAGGAAGAAATCAGGCACAGGAAACTCATGTAACTCTCCCCAGCCCTACAGCTGGTCGATAGCAGACCCAGCATTCAAACTCGGGAATTCTGGCTCCAAAACATGTGTTTCACAGCATGCCATGAACTCAGTATTTATTTTCAGCTGTTTTTAAGTGATACGATAGCATATTAATCCAGACTTTCATTCTATTTCTGGCCAAAATTATAAGTAATATTTTCTGAATCTTGCAATTAAAAAAACTACTAAGAACTTATACATAGGCAACTTTAGAAACCTACTTTCAATGAACAAACAATTCAATTTTTTGCTAAAGATCCATCAACAGGCATTCATTCATCTATTCAACCATTTATTCCTGCATTCAACTAATGCTTCTTGAGCACACAATACATGTCAGTTGGTCCAGGAAAACATGGTTGTTATACTTCAAAACTGTATAATCTAAAAGTAATAATCCTTGATAGATCATCAGTAGCTTGCTTTTCTATTGTACATAAACAGAATCATCCTCTTCTCTCCAGAAGCTAAACAGCTATAGAGTTGACATACCTGATATTTCTGAGTACCTCACCAAATCATAGCTATTTATGATGCTATTATCAAAGGTATTGTAATATCAATCACCAAGAAATATGTAAATACTATTTGGTATGACCTAATGTTTGTACATTTATTATTACATTACTTTAAAGAATCTATCTATGATAGTTTAACTTTTCGGTCATCATTTTTATGTTCAGTTTCATTAGAATATTCCATTTCCAACTCAATTCTGAAGGAATAACCTCTTACCATAAAATTATACATGAATAGCAGAGGGAAAAGAATTAGTTTACTATAAATCTTTAAATAACACTGTATCAAGCTTTCTAATGCTTAGGCGTGCAAACCAAATTAAATCTCATAAGCATGCCCTTCTCTACTGGATCAATTACAAAAGAATACAAACATACTCTAAAAGCTTCTATTTTAAAATAAAAGAAGAAAACACCCTTGAATCCCATATTCCTTTTCACTTATTACCCATTTCTTTGTTGCCTTTCACAGACAATGTTCTCTCTAGAAATGTCTACTGTCATCCACTAGAGTCAGGGTTCCACGGTGATCATTTATTGAAACTGCTCCTTGTCAAACCCACTCATCCTTATCTTTTTTTTTTTTTTTTTTTTTTTGTTTGAGACGGAGTCTTGCTCTGTCACCCAGGCTGGAGTGCAGTGGCCGGATCTCAGCTCACTGCAAGCTCTGCCTCCCAGGTTCATGCCATTCTCCTGCCTCAACCTCCCGAGTAGCTGGGACTACAGGCGCCCGCCACCTCGCCCGGCCAGTTTTTTGTATTTTTTTTAGTAGAGACGGGGTTTCACTGTGTTAGCCAGGATGGTCTTGATCTCCTGACCTCGTGATCCACCCATCTCGGCCTCCCAAAGTGCTGGGATTACAGGCTTGAGCCACCGCGCCCGGTCTCGTCCTTATCTTAATCGATCTTTCAGCAGCATTGCTACTGTTGAGTATTCTGTAGCTTTGAAGTATTTTACTATTCTATTTTCAGAAAAAGTAATCACTGCTAACGTTCCTTTACAGAGAAATAAAGAACGCATCAATTTTACCTTCTTTCTTTCTCATCTATTTCAGTTAAACTGCTGTCATCAGTCACTTGCAGCAGATCATGAGTTATTAAATCGGCCTTCTTAAATACTAGCAGAGTCACAGATTCTGTTGTGATCCATTCTTCATGTTCATTTTTCTTTACTTTCTTCATCTGCAAGGCAGGGACACTACTTCAAAAAATTCATTAAAAAGATAATGTTTTCTAGTAATTCTACAGACAAAAAATAGTAAACCAAATTTTTATAAAACTGCAACTCTTTTCCATCTCAATTCATTTCTTAATACAAAAACCTGTTATGAAGTACCAACCAAATGCAAGGAAATGTATATTCTCTGCTTCAAAAGATTGATAAATACACAATTATACTACAATGCAATATGTAAGAGCTGATCTATGAAAAGCTCTTCTGAGCACAAAGAAGGCTTTACAGAAGTAGCAAAATGTAAGGGAAGCGCATGAGGAAAAATGTACACGAAAGTCATCCTACTTAGAGATCGGGATGTGAGCACAAAGTCTGGGCACGTGGCATCCAGGTGATTCCTAGGAACCCGAAAAAGTGTAAAATAGAAAGAAGCAAAAAATCAGAGATGCTTTTTTGTAAAGTTTTAATGAGCAGAAAGCATCTGGTTAAAGTTGCCTTCCAGTTAGGAAAGGACTGACCTGTAGCCATGGTAACAAGTAGTTACCCAGAACCAGTTTTAAATCTACTCAATGACCAGTGGCCTCACCCACCAACCAATCAATGTCAGCTGCTTGCTTCTGACACAGAAACAATCAGAGACAAACTCACTCCAATCAGTGAGCCTGGAAATGCCAGCCAATCCACAACAATCTCACTCTGATAACCATGCTGCTCCAGGTGATGTCAACCCATTTATTCCTTTAAAACTCAGCCAGTCCTTCAACTCCACTCTTACCAAAACCCTATGTAAGATCAGCAGCTGCTCCATCAGAAGAGACTGTGCCTGACCAGCACATCTCTCCCACTATAGATGGAAATGAATTCCAACCTTGCCTTTTTTTTTTTATAATCACTGAAGGCTTCTAATGCTTTGGGAAAATGTTTTCAAGTCAATTACATCTACCACCCCTATATTTTATTTTGCTTAAGAAAATACAAATGAAGTTTGCAATTCCTTTGGTCCACAGTACCATAATTAAAACTATCGTAATTACCAGAAAAAGAATAATTTGTGAATAACCACAATATTGGGCTTTTCTCCCTAGATGGAAAGAGCCAACAGAATCCAAAATATGAATATAACTTCCAGATAAAATTGTCAAAATGAACCCACGTCAAACTGGTTTTTAAGTAAGAATCCACTTAATGTCTAAATCAATATACCCAGGGTAAATTCTATTCACTCATTTGATAAATACTTATTAAGTTGATACACACTATCTGCTAGGCACTTTTCTAGGCACTGAGGGTACAGCAATAAATAGGAATCCCACTCAAGAGTGAAGTAAACACACAATAACAAATACAATCGATAGGCAAAATATACACTACACTAGAGGGAAAAAACTAAAGCAGGAAAATGAAAGGTTTTATGTGTTGGGGAGGAGGGCTGGTAGAAATAGTAGAATGACCAGAAAGGGTCTTGCTGAGAACATGGCTGTTAGACAAAGACCTGAAGGAACGGAAGGGGCAAGCCGGGAGGATATCTGAGGGAAAACCATCCCAGACAGAGTGAACTGCCAAGTACAGAGGTAAGTCTGGAGTGCTTCAGGAACAGCGAGAAGTTTAGCGTGGTTGGAACGGAGCAAAAGGAATAGAAAAATAGAAGTTTAAGTTGGAGAGATAACAGGTCAGGTCACACATTGCCTTTTAGGTATTAGAAAGAACATTGGCATATATTCTGAGAGAAATAAGAGGCAATTAGGTTGTGAGCAGAGGAGTGCCATCATCTAACATGTTTTAGCAGGTCCTCTGGGTTAAGAATTCATAAACAGAGAATTAAGAAAAAGAAACAAGATCAACTGGCAGTCTGTTACACTCATGGAGACAGAACATGGTAGTGGCTTGAACATGTAAGATGTGACTGGCTTTTGGATATATTTTGAAGATAGGCCTCGTAAGACGTGACGACAGATTAGATGTCAGGTATCAGAGAGAAAGAAAGACAGAGAGAGATGAGTCAAGGGTGACACGAAGGTTTATTGTCAGAGCAACTGAATGAGTTGCCATGTACCCAAGTAGGAAAGACTACCTGTGGGGAAGGTATGAAGAAGAGCATCAGAAGCCCGATTTCGGACCTGACAAGTTTGCGATACTCAACAGGTGACCAAAGAGAGATGTCAAGGAGGCAGTTTGCAGATCTGAAATTAAGGAGAGAGACCTGGGCTGGAGATACACATTTGGACATCATTCTCAATATACAGGATAGTAACAGTCATGAGAAAGAAGACTGAGGACTGAGCCGTGGGACATGTCAATGTGTGAAAGGTAGGGGATGAGGAGAAGCAAGCCAAACAGACTGTGATAGATGAACTAGAAAGGCAGGAGAAGCCAGGTGAGGGAGAGAGATCCTGAAAGCCAAGTGAGGGAAGTGCTGAGAAGCAGGGAGTTCTCTGTTGAGTGAGGCGTTGCTGGTAGGTTGAATAAAACAGGGTCTCAGAAATTATGGCTGGATTTATTAAAGTGAAAATCAGTGGTAACCTTGAGAAAAACAATTTTGGAGGAGTGATGGGAGAGAAAATTACTGGAGTGACTTTTAGAGTGAATGGAAAGGAAATGTGAGCCCTCAAGTACAGGCAGTTCTTTCAAGGTCATCCTCCCTAAGTGGCATGATCATGAACCATCTAATTTACTTGTCATTTAGCTGCATTTTTCTAATCTTATATAATGAGTATACAGTCTATTTTAACACTTTGAAGATTTTTAAAATACATATGGCATTTAAAAATGCAAAACCAGGGTATTATAAGTTCATAAAATTATAGAACTAAAAAGACTACTGGAACATTTCTAGATTACAGATGCTGATCATCATTTTGCTCATATTTATAAATAAATACCACAGAAAGACTAAACGTTTCATGGGCAGTATTTTGTGCTTGATAACAGCCATTTAACTCTAGGATATTTTATCCTCATCCAATGTACAGAGTAATGACTCATATTAAAATACTGAGTTCCACAACAGGAATAAAAGGTGATCAATGAAGGAAACAATCTTATTGTATAAACCAAATTTTTGTAAATTATATAGTATGAAGTCCTTAATGTGTATGTATTAACACAAATCATGGCTTCCTGTAGGATCTAGTCCCAGCAGTGAAGGTCTCAGGTGAAAGGAATGTTGAAATTTTGACACACTACTAAATTACCATTCAAGAAGAATTTACCAAGTTCATTTACCCACAGTGTATGAGAATCCCTTTTTCCTCACATTTGTCAACAATGGTTATTATTTTTAAATAAAATATTGATATAATTGAAAAAATGGTACCTCTTTATTTTTTTGCATTTTTATGATCAGGCAAGGCTGAATATCTCTTGTAAAAGTATAAAATTTGTCAATCATGGATATTTGCCCAAATTAGGGTTACTTTTATAGTACAGTAGAAATGATCTACTGTTAAATACTGTTAAATAGGCTTACCTATCGCACTCTTCATGCTCTGTCCTAGGAATTTGCTGACCGTCAGTTTCTCCACTCTCTCCTTGTTGAATATGGTCATCAGTGGAGCCATCATGTAGGTTTCTTGATGCTTCTGTTTCATTCCTTGCATGCTTCTTCCTTTCTCCCTCAGCCTTTAGTGAAAGTTTCATAGATAGGATAATTGTTATCATTTTATCCAATTGAAAAATTGTTCTGTTTTAATTGATTGTATCACTTCACAGTTTAACTTTCACAATTTTAGTCATTAAAATATTTTGTGCTTATGTTATTACATATAGGATTATACATAGAATTATAAGATATAAGTAGCATAATTTTATCACTGACAGTTGTATAAAGTTAGCTTTATTTCTGTGTGAGTGAATGAGACAGAATTTTCCAAAATTTCAAAAGGGCTCTTCTAAATTTTATCCTTTTATTTCCATCCATTCTTTGCTATCTCATATGAATTTTCATCCATTTAACTGGGAAGAAACAGAAATAAAAAGACAAAGACAAATATGCGTCATCTTCTGCCTTTACCTCCTGGATTTTACATCAAACAGCCAGATTTAGAGGATGTGACAGTTGGGGCTTCAGGAAGAGAAAGGAAGCCCCTTTCTTCACTAAGCTATTCTGTTTCCCACCACATTTTATAATTCTTTTTTCTTGTGGCTCCTGGGATATCAAAAAAGTGAAGGTGCTCACTGAAATACATGTATATACACACACACACACACAATCAGCCCAAAGAACACCAGATGAATACACTGAAAGACTACACCATGCCATATAGATATCACACTGTCTAAACAGGAACGAAAAAATCCTACAATCATCAAGAAGAAAGCATCAAGTCATCTATAAAAGAAACCTGATCAAACTAACGTCAACTTCTCAGCAGAAGTCTTACAAGGCGGAAGAGACTGGGATCCTATTTTCACAATGCTTTAAGAAATAAACTGCCATCCTAGAATTTTCTCTCCAGCTAGAAAAAGCTTCATAAATGAAGGAGAACAAGTCTCTTCCAGACCAGCAAATGCTGAGGGAATTCTTCACCACTAGATCAGCCCTAGAAGAAATGCTCAAAGAAGGCCTAAACATGGAAAACAGCTGTCGATGTTCATCATTCATAAAAACACACTGAAGTGTAAAATTCATAGCTAGTATACAGTGATTCATGCATACAATGCAAGCATTTTAGGAGGCCAAGGCAGGAGGGTGACTTGAGGCCAGGGATTTGAGACCAGCCTGTGCTATGTAACAAGATGGCATTTCTACAAAAATAATTTAAAATAAATTAGCTGGATGTGGTGTGTATGCCTGTAGTCCCAGCTACTTGGAGGCTATAGTAGGCAAATCTTGTCTTGCTATAAAGGATTACCTGAGGCTGCTTAATTTACAAAAAGGGAAGTTTAATTGGCTCACAGTTCTGCAGGCTGTGCAGTAAGTGTGTCATTAGCATCTGCTCCTGGTGAGAGCCTCAGGAAGCTTACAATCATGGAAAAAGGCAAAGGGGAAGCAGGCACATCACATAGCAAGAGTGAGAATAGGAGCATGAGGAGGGAAGTGCCACACACTTTTAAACAAGCCACTGTCATGTGAACTCACTTAATAGCAAGGGGTTGGGCTAAACCATTCATGAGCCAAATGCTCCCATCATCCAATCATCTTCTATCAAGCCCCAACTCCAACACTGGGAATTATATTTCAATAGGAGATTTAAAGGGAACAAACTTCCAAACCATATCATTCCACCTCTGGCCCCTCAAATCTCATGACCTTCTCACATTTTGAAATATAATCATGCATTCAAAACAGTTCCTCTAAGTCTTAACTCATCCAGCACTAACTGAAAAGTCCCAAGGCCCAAGTCCAAAGTTTCATTTGGAGATGAGTTCCTTATACCTATGAGCCTGCAAAATCAAAAAGAAGTTATTTACTTCCAAGATACAAGAAAGCTACAGGCATTGGGTAACAATTCCCATTCCAAAAGGGAGCTATTGGCCAAAATTAAGGGGCAACAGGCCCCAGGCAAGTCTAAACCCAGCAGGGAAGTCATTAAATCTTGAAGCTCTGAAATAATACTTTTTCTGACTCCATGTCTCACATCCAAGGCACATGGGTGCAAGGTGTAGGCCCCCAAGGCCTTTGTCAATGCTGCTCCTGTAGCTTTGCAGGCTGCAGCCCCTGTGACTGCTGTCACATGTTAGCGTTGAATGCCTGTGGTTTTTCCAGGTGAAGGGTGCAAGATGCTAGTGGATCTACCATTCTGGGGTCTGGATGTCAGCAACCCCCTTCTGACAGCTCCACTAGGTGGTACCACAGTGGGGACTTGGTGCAGGGAATCCAACCCCACATTTCCCTTTGGCATTGCCCTAGGAGAGGCTTTTTTTCCCTGCGAGGGCTCTGTCCTGCAGCAGGCTTCTGCCTGGACTCAGGTTTTCCCATACATCCTCTGAAATCTAGATGGAAGCCACCAAGCCTCCTTCACTCTTGCATTCTGTGCACCTGCAGGTTTAACAACGTGTGGAAGCCACCAAGGCATATGGCTTGTGTTCACTGGAGTGGCAGCCCAAACTGTACCTGAGCCCCATTGAGTCTCTGAAGCCAGAGTGGCATGGATGTGAGAAACAGTGTCATGGAGCTGAGCAGAGTTAACAGGGCCTGGGCATGACTCCTGAAACCATTATTTCTTCCTAGACCTCTGGGCCTGTAATGAAAGGGGCTGCCTAGAAGAGCTCTGGAATAACTTCAGGTCATTTTCCCTAACATTTTGGATATTAGAACTTGGCTATGTTTTAGTTATGATAATCTCTGTAACAAGTGGCTGCTCCCCATCCCATTGTATTTCTCTCCTAAAAAGGCTTTTTCTTTCCCTATTACATGGCCAGGTTGTACATTTTCCAAGCTTTACACTTTGCTTCCAGTTTAAATACAAGTTGCAACTTTAAGCCATTCCTTTTCTCCCGTATCTGACTGTAGGCTGCTAGAGGCAGTCAGGCTACTTCTTGAACTCCTAGCTGCTTAGACAGTTCTTCTGTCAAATACCCTAAGTCGTCATTTTTAAGCTCAATATCCACAGATCCCTAGGACTTGGGCACAATGCAGCCACACTGTTTTCTAAGGCATAACAAGGGTGATCTTCATTCCATTTCCCAATAACTTTTTCATTCCATCTGAGACCTGGCCTTCACTGCCCAGATTCCTATTACATTTTGGTTCTGACCACTTAACAAGTCTCTAATGAAGTTCCAAACTTTCATCTTCCTGTCTTCTGCTGAGCCCTCCAAACTCTGCCAGTCTCTGCTAACTGCCCAAACCCAAAGCTGCTTCTGGTTTTCTGGTATTTTTATTGTAACACCCAATCTTTGGTACCAATTTTCTGTGTTAGGCCATTTTTGCATTGTTATAAAGAAATACCTGAGGCTGGTTAATTTATAAAGAAAACAGGTTTAATTGGCTCATGGTTCTGCACACTGCACAGGAAACATGGTGTGAGGGCCACAGGAAGCTTACAATCATGGCAGAATGCAAAGGAAGTGCAGGTGTGACACATGTTGAGTATGAGAGCATGGAGAGGGGGAAGTGCCACACACTTTCAAACAACCATATGCAAACTCAGAGCAAGAACTCACTTTCGCCAAGGGATGGGGCCAAACCATTCATGAGGGATCTGACACTATGATGCAAACACCTCTTACCAGGTTCCCCTCCAACATCAGGAATCACATTTCAATATGAGATTTGAAGGGGACAAACATGCAAACACCTCTTACCAGGTTCCCCTCCAACATCAGGAATCACATTTCAATATGAGATTTGAAGGGGACAAACATGCAAACACCTCTTACCAGGTTCCCCTCCAACATCAGGAATCACATTTCAATATGAGATTTGAAGGGGACAAATATGCAAACACCTCTTACCAGGCTCCCCTCCAACATCAGGAATCACATTTCAATATGAGATTTGAAGGGGACAAATATGCAAACACCTCTTACCAGGCTCCCCTCCAACATCAGGAATCACATTTCAATATGAGATTTGAAGGGGACAAACATGCAAACTGTATCAGAGGCCAAGGCAAGAGGATCACTTGAGCTTGGAAACTTGAGGCTGCGGTGAGCTATGATTCCACCACTGCACTGCAGTCTGGGTGACCGAGTGAGACCCTGTCTCTAAAATAAATAAGTAAATAACATAGAATAAATTTAACAGGATTCCTAAAAACAGTTACACAAAGGGTGAGAGAAAGAAATCAAATGGCAACATGACAGAACTCCATTAGACCACAAACACAGACAGAAGGAAACAAGGAACAAAGAACTTTTAAAACATCCAGGAAACACATAACATTACAACAGGAACAAAATCTCACATATCAATATTAACCTTGGATTTAAATTGATTTAATGCTCCACTTAAAAGATATAGATTGGTGGAATAGATTTAAAAACATAACCCAACTCCATGTTGCTTACAACAATCTCACATTAACTGTAAGGACACTTATAGACCAAAAGTAGTGGCAGGGAAAAAGATACTCCATGCCAACAGAAACCAAAAGTGAGCAGAAATAGCTACACTTTTATTATATAAAACAGATTTTAAATTAAAAAAAAGTTAAAAAGACAAAGAATGTCATTATATTATAATAAATGGATTAATTTAGCAACAGGATAAAAACAATCTTAAATATATATATGCACCTAAAACTGGAGCACTCAGATTTATACAACAAATATTATTAGAACCACATATAGATAGCAACACAATCTGAGTGGGGAACTTCAATACTCCACTGACACCACTAGAGAAATTATTGAGACAGAAAATCAAGAAAGAAACATTGAACTCAAATTGGACTTCAGACCAAACCGATCTAACCAGTATTTATAGAGCATGCTACCCAGTAACTAAAGGCTATACATCCTACTCATCAGCACGTGGAACATTCTCCAAGATAGACCATATGTTAGGCCACAAAATAAGTCTCAATAAATTTTTAAACATCAAAATCATATCAGGTATCTTTTGAAAGCACAGTGGAATAAAACTAGAAATCTTAACCAAGAGAAATGTCAGAAATTATAGAAATAAATAGAAATTAATATGCACTGGAATAATCTTTGGGTCAGCAAAGAAGTGAAGATGGAAATTAAAAAAAGATTTTGACACAAATGACAATGGAAATACAGCATACTAAGACCACTGGAATTTTATGACACTAAATGCCTACATTAAAATAATACAAAGATAATGAATTAACAACCTAACATTGTGCCTTAAAAAATTAGAAAACTAACCACAAACCAAATCCAAAGCAGAAAGAAAGAAATGACAAAGATCAGAGAAGAACCAAATGAAATAGAAACCAAAACAACAATGCCTAGGATCAAAAACCAACAGCTGACTCCTAGAAAAGATGAACGTAACTGATAAAGCCCTAGCTACACTAACCAAAAAATGAGAGGAAAGTCAAATAATCAAAATCAGAAATAAGAAAGAAAACATTACAACTGATACCACAGAAATAGAAAAGATCATCAGAGACTATTTATTATAAACAATGATTCGCTAGAGGAAATGGAAAAATTCCTGGAAACATACAACCTCCCAAGATTAAACCAGGAGGAAACAGAAATCCTGAATAAACCAATAATGAATTGTGAAACAGAATTACTACTTAAAAAAACCTCTGAACAAATAAAAGCCCAGGACCAGATGGATTCACAGCCAAAATCTACCAAACATAAAAAAAAGAGCTGGTACCAATCCTCCTGAAACTCTTCCAAAAAATTGACAAGGACAGACTCCCCACTAACTCATTCTGTGAAGCCCGTATTAATCTGATATCAAAACCAGACAAGGACACAACATAAAAAGAGCACTACAGACCAGTATCCATGGTAAACAGATATGCAAAAATCCACAACAAAATGCTAGCAGCCTGAATCCAACAGCACATTAAAAAGATAGTAAGTACATCATGATCCAATGTGTTTTATTCCAGGGATGCAAGGAGGGCTCAAAATATGCAAATCAATCAATGTGATTCATCTCACACACAAAATTAAGGACAAAAACCTTCAATCATCTCAATACATTTGGAAAAAGCATTTGATAAAATCCAGCATCCTTTCACGATAAAAACTCAACAAACTAGGCATAGAAGGAACATATCTCAAAATAAAAAAGGCAATATATGATAAACCCACAGTCAACATCATATGGAAGAGGTAAAAAGTTGAAAGCATTCCTCTATGAACAGGAACAAGACAAGGATGCCCATTTTCACCTCTCCTGCTCGACAGAGTACTGCAAGTCCTAGCCAGAGCAATCGGCAAAGAGAAAAGAAATAAAAGGCATCCAAATTAAAAAAGAAGACATCAAATTTTCTCTCTTCACTGATGGTATGCTCTTATGTCTAGAAAACCCTAAAGACTCCATAAAAACCTCCTTAGATTTGATAAATGAATTTAGCAAAGTTTCTGGATCAACACACAAAAATCAGTAGAATTTCTCTACTGCAGCAACCTACAGATTCCACCCAATTCCTATCAAAATCAGTGTGAGAACTGAATCAAGAAGACAATCCCATTTACAAATAACAACAAAAATAAAATGAAATAAAATACCTAGGAATCTATGTAACCAAGGAGGTGAATGATCTCTACAAGGAAAACTACAAAATATGGCGAGAGAAACTGTAGATGACACAAATAAATGAAAAAACTCATGCTCATGGATAGAAAAAAATAATAGCATTAAAACAACTGTATTGCCCAAAGCAACCTACAGATTCCACCCAATTCCTTTCAAAATACCAACATGATTTTTCACAGAATTAGAAAAAAAATCCTAAAATTCATATGGAACCAACAAAGAGCCACAATAGCCAAAGAAATCCTAAGTAAAAAGAACAAAGAAAAACTGGAAAATCATTAAAATTAGAAAATAATTTAAATTCAACTGTTAAAAATATTACTCTATGTCTAGCTCCTCCTAAATCACTGGATTATAATTAAGAAGTAAAAAATAATTCACCTCACCCTGAAGTAGGAGAGAAACATGAACCAGAAAACTGTCATTGTTTGTTTGCACTCAACTTAATTCATGATGTGTTTCAATAGGACGGCTATAGTCAATAATAACTTAATAATAATAATAACTTAATTGTACATTGTAAAATAACTTAAAGAGTGTAATGGGATTGTTTGCAACTGAAAGGATAAATGCTTGAGGAGATAGATACCCCTTTCTCCATGATGTGCTTATTTCGCATTGCATGCCTCAGTCAAAATATCTCATGTACCCCATAAACATATATATCTACTATGTTCCCACAAAAACATTAAAAATAAATACATAAATAAAAATGATGATGTGTTAAATCTACCAAAAATGAATTAGCAGATGATTTGTAGCGTTGCAAAGTCCTCTTTTCCTAAAAAGATTTTACCATATGACACCTTAAAGGCCAAGCCCTACAGTGCATTTAAGCACTTTTTCTAAAGATTACTAACTGGAGAAGAGTAAACTTTAAATTATTCAGAGCCCAAATCAGCATCAATCAGAAAGAAAAAGCAAATTCTTAAATTTTATTTCCAATAATGTATCATAATAAGATAGTGTTATGTATCTAGATACACTCTCTGCTTAAATCCAGTTCTAATTTATTATAAGGTCCACTAATGACAGTGGGTTTTAAAATTAGTAACATTTACTGATTTCCTGCATTGAAATAAGTCACAAAGTTACTGTTTGTGTCTTAACACCAAAGATCCCAATCTGCAAAGCACGATTCTCTTCATCAGCAGTTGGGTTGACTTTATAAGACCATTTTCTCCCTGAACATGGACAACGAAATCAACTAGAGACCAAAAGCTAAAATAAATCTTTAATGTTGGTACTAATGATCAGCAATATCAATCTCCAAATTTTGAACTCCTGGGAATGAGTGCTCCTTTCACATGAATGTAGCTCAGTGGCCTTTACTGCTCAATTGTTTATCATTTCTAATGCTAAATAGTAAAATGCAACATTTAACGTTACATTCTTTATCATGTAAGGAGGTTATAAAAACGGAAGACCAAATAAAATTCTAAACATTGTTTGCCTCTATATCAAGAGTTAAACAGTAGCTATGAGATACTATAGATTCTAAGAACATTTTAAAGTTTATATATCATTAAAAATGCTTTCAAAACTAAACATTAAATTATGATCTATTGATTCCAAACAGCTAGTGTGAAAGGTAATTTCATTTGGTCTATGTCACGTCATTAAAGCAAAGAAAACAACATAAAATCAGTATTTAGGTTCAAATTTGTACACACCTGTGGCTTGTTCTTTTCACTTCCTTCAAGCTTTTCTGGCTTTTGCTCTGATGTCACTTCTAAATCTTGTTCTGCTGACAAATCCATATAGTTAGTTAAAATGAACTACGTAGAAGAGTTAGATAAAGGCTAAAGTCAATATAAAAATATTTTATAAATTGAGAGTTTAAACGAAGCTTAATGTTTAGTGAAATATTTATTTCTTTAAGAAATACTTCCAGTTATCCAAAATTTCAACAAACCCCTCCAGGACACTAGATATCACCAGTGCAAGCCACACAAAACAGCTCAAAGATTTTCTCACAAATGTATCTACCCAACATAAATAAACAAAACCATCAGAAACAAAACAAAGTATAAAAATACACTAAGAACATCTATGGTAACACTGTATGCTGTTCTCTACTTCATAACAGTGCCCTGTTATTTATTTTATTTTTTTGAGATGGAGTCTCGCCTTGTTGCCCAGGCTGGAGTGCAGTGGCATGATCTAGGCTCACGGCAACCTCCACCTCCCAGGTTCAACTGATTCTCCTGCCTCAGTTTCCTGAGTAGCTGGAACTACAGGCATGCACCACCATGCCCAGCTAATTTTTGTATTTTTAGTAGAGATGGAGTTTTACCATGTTAACCAGGCTAATCTTGAACTCCTGACTTCAGGTGATCCACCTGCCTCAGCATCCCAAAGTGCTGAGTTTACAGGCATGAGCCACTGCGCCCAGCCCAGTAGTATCATTCTTAACGACACAGTACACCTATGATCAGTGATTTCCAGAATTACTGTAACCATTTATACTTTTACCAGTGCACAGCCTGTTCTCGATATCTGAAATGTTTTCCTCTATCATTCTAACCATTTCTTTTTCATCACTCACATTGCTGTGTTAAGTATTCCTTGATTCTTGCTATCTTTCCTTAGATAAACAGGTGTCTCTTTCCTTGAGGCTGACTTAGTACTACATTGATTTTTCTAGTGTATCTTTACCGCCTGAAATGTACATTCTTTCTATGCATGTCTATTACTCCCTTTGTCCTAAACTGTATGGGACAATCTTTCAAATCACCTTTTCTTTTGTTTCATGTTTTTGAGACAGGGTCTTGGTCTGTCGCCCAGGCTGGAACACAGATGTGCGATCTCAGCTAACGACAACCTCTGCCTCCTGGACTCTAGGGATTCTCCCACCTCAGCCTCTGAGTATCTGGGACCACAGGCACGTGCCGCCATGCTCGGCTAATTTTTGTGTTTTTTCCAGAGACTGGATTTCACCATGTAAAAAAGGAAATGAAACTATTGGGGTGCAAAATATTTTATGATTTATTACTATATAGATCTGATCGTATACCTGATTAAAGACACTGAATTTAACTGGGACATAAAGTAGAACACATATTAGATGCAGTTATTCAACAGATTATGTGTCCTAGTAAAATTAAAATGTATTTTCATGTTATTTTTAAATGACACCACCTTCCTTCAAACCAATATTCCTAGTAAATTGTTACTCATTAAAACAAGGTGATACACTATGTGGACACAGCCGAAAAGACACCATCTAGCAAATTCTCAAGGATACCATTCATACTGGGAAAGTCAATTCTATACTACATAAAGTCACAGAAATTATTAAAAATAACTTAATTTGGGGGTTTGGAAGGTGCTTTTTGGGCTACATTTTATATAGTTACAACTGATACAAATTCAGACCTATGGAAACAAACAAAGAAACCACATTGTGTTTGAGCAGGCAATCTTTACATCCTTGCCTACATTTGCCCTCCAGTCCCAAAGTTCTATGTATAATCCTTGGACTCACATTCAAGTTTATGTTAAATACTAGCCTAAACAAAATTACTTATCCTTCTTATTCTCTTTGTTATTTTTATGTTGCTTTGGTTAAAGGAAGAACACAAATGCCCTGCTGATAGGTCCTCTGTTTGGTTGTAGCTTGTATAAGGAGGGTGTAAATACAATACACACTTTGTCACAAAATGATTCTTTAAAAGTTACAACTATGGTGTTATGAAGCCACGTACAGCTATGCTGGGACTGAATTCTCTGTGCTTCTTTACTACCTTCTTTGCTCTCTTTGTTTTCTGGTAGCTGTGACTCACACAGGTCATGGAGAGTGTAATTCCAAAATAGAAATGCAGCTGCAGTGGTCATCTTTTCTTGATCTATTAAGTTCATCTGCCCCAAGTCTGTGGATCCCAACACAGTTTTGGTCATTGGTGGAGATACAAATGGACATAGATCACTAACTTTCAAATTCTCAGATCTTTCGTGAATCTCATTACTAAAATCCAAAGCTGAAAAAGCTGAAAGTAAAGTTGTCATTATTAGAATGTAAATCATAATACAACTTGACTAACGTGGAGAAATTCCTTCTAAAACAGAAGCAGTCCCTTGTCCTCCATTCCCCCAGAAACACACCACTCCTGCATGGCTTATTGTATTCTGCATGTCCTGTACTTGCCATTCACTCACGTCGGTTTTATTAACAATCATCTTCGACATTTTTATTTTTTAGTGTTACTTACTTTGATTCACTCAGTGATATTATATATTTTGTTTTCCATGAGAGCTTTGTTTATTAATAATAAAGAGTCTTCAGGAATATGAACTTTCTTTTACTAATGAAACTTACGTTTAACCATTAGACACGTGATGGTCATAAGATCATGGGTGATTAATGGGCCGGAGTTATAATGGCTATTGGAATGCATGGAAATGCATGCTTATATTTTAAATTATTCAGCTTCAGTTTTTGATATAGTAAATAATCAATAAATACAATCCACTTAAACAAAAGCTCTTTGGAATCTGCTATCATTGTGGATTTTTTTGGGTTTTTTTTTTTTTTTTTTTTTTTGAGACGGAGTCTCGCTCTGTCGCCCAGGCTGGAGTGCAGTGGCGCGATCTCGGCTCACTGCAAGCTCCGCCTCCCGGGTTCACGCCATTCTCCCGCCTTAGCCTCCAGAGTAGCTGGGACTACAGGCACTCGCCACCACGCCCGGCTAATTTCTTTTTGTATTTTTAGTAGAGACGGGGTTTCACCGTGTTAGCCAGGATGGTCTCGATCTCCTGACCTCGTGATCCGCCCGCCTCGGCCTCCCAAAGTGCTGGGATTACAGGCTTGAGCCACCGTGCCCGGCCTCTGGAATCTGTTATCATTGTTTAATGTTTTCATCTTTTTCTCACCATGAAGAGAGTTTAATGAAATGTGGTAGTCATAGCATGAAATACTATAGAAAATGTAAACTCAACTAGAGCTACTTCTGAAAATAGTGATGGATCTCTTTGATCAAATGAATGGGTGTGAACAAAACATATCAACTGATTTCAAAAATATAATGCTGAGTAAGCAAAAGAAAGCTGCTGAATAATATATATAATGTACAATCATTTCTATGAGTGAAATTTTAGGACAGAAACATCAATTCTACATATGATTTATGGCCATACACATATACAGTAAAATGTATGAAAGCTGCATGACAATGGCAAACACCTAATTCAGGGTGTTGGTTACTTCTATGCAATAATTATTAATTGTACAAAAAACCCTAAGCCTATAAAGTTTCAGAATCACTCTTTGAAATGAGTGTGTCTGCCAAACAGCCATGAAAAGATGATTACTTTCCTCATTTTTGTAATCCAAGATATTCACTGCACACACACACACAATAATCAAAGCATTCGATTTGCTTCAGATTGTCAGTCTAACAACACTAGGATGAAGTAATTAAACTTAATACAAAATTGACATGTTAGCAAGGAAAGCTTTCCTCCAGGTAAAGATCAGAATTCCAACAAGCATTCCCAACACGGGAAAAACTGTAGTCTCATAATTCACCTCTGTGGAACCTGAATGAGTGTAGGTATTCCCAACTGAGAACTTCAGCCTAGCAACATGTAAGAGAAGATACATCTAAGTTAGAGCTTATGTTTTAAAAATCTCTCTATATTGGCCGGGCGCGGTGGCTCACGCCTGTAATCCCAGCACTTTGGGAGGCTAGGCGGGTGGATCATGACGTCAGGAGATCGAGACCATCCTGGCTAACACGGTGAAACCCCGTCTCTACCAAAAATGCAAAAACTTAGCCTGGCGGTGGGCGCCTGTAGTCCCAGCTACTTGGGAGGCTGAGGCAGGAGAATGGCGTGAACCCGGGAGGCAGAGCTTGCAGTGAGCCGAGATCCGGCCACTGCACTCCAGCCTGGGGGACAGAGTGAGACTCCGTCTCAAAATAAATAAATAAATAAATAAAAATAATAATAAAAAAAATCTCTCTATATTATGCTTCTAAGTATAATGTTTTTCAAACATAGATACCAACGCTAATATCTGCATTATATATATCAAATCTATCCATCAAATTTGAAAAAAAAGACAGGAATATGAAGACTGTTAGCATTTAAAATATTTTAATGTGCTTCTTTCCAGAGTTAAATTTGTATTGCAAATTGCAGATGAAGCCAGAGCTGAATTCTACCAGATGTACAAAGAACAGGTACTAGTTCTATTGAAACTATTCCAAAGAATTGAGGATGAGGGGCTCCTCCCTAACTCATTCTAGGAAGCCAGTATCAGCCTAATACCAAAATCTGGCAGAGAAACACACGAAAAGAAAACTTCAGACCAATTACTCCGATTAACATAGACACAAAAATTCTTAACAAAATTCGAGGAAACAGAATCCAGCAGCACATCAATAAGTTAATAAACCACAATCAAGAAGACTTCAGTCCAGGGATGCAAGACTGGTTCAACATATGCAAATCAATAAATGTGATTCACCACATAAACAGAACTAAAAGCAAAAACCATATGATCATCTCAATAGATGCAGAAACAGCTTTTGATAAAATCCAACATCACTTCATGTTAAAAACCTCAACAGACTAGGTATCAAGGGAACATACCTCTCAAAATAATAAGAGCCATCTATGACAAACCCACAGCTACCAACCGACTGAATGGGCAAAAGCTGGAACCAATCCCCATGAGAAATGGAACAAGACAATGATGCCCACTCTCCCCACTCCTATTCAACATAGCACTGGAAGTCCTACCTGGAGAACTCAGGCAGGAGAAAGAAAGAATAGGCATCCAAATAGGAAAAGAAGAAGTCAAACTCTCTCTCTTTGCTGATGATATGATTCTTTATCCAGAAAACCAAAGACTCTGCCAAAAGGCTACTAGAACTGATAAACAACTTTAGCAAAGTTTCAGGATAAAAAAATCAATGTGTAAAAATCAACAGCATTTCTATACACCAATAATGTCCAGGTTGAGAGTTAAATCAAGAACAGAATCCCATTTACAGTAGCGACAAAGAAAATGAAATACCTAGGAATGCAGCTAACAAAGGATGTGAAAGATCTCTACAGGAGCTACAAAACACTGCTGAAGAAATCAGAGATAACACAATTAAATGGAAAAACATTCCATGCTCATGGATTGGAAGAATCAGTATCATTCAAATGGCCATACTGCCCAAAGCAATTGACAGATTCAGTGCTATTTCTATCAAACTACCAATGTCATTCTTCACAGACTTAGAAAAGAGTATTCTAAAATTCATATGAAACCAAAAGAGGGCCTCCACAGCCAAAGCAAATCTAAGCAAATGGGCAAAGCCAGAGGCTTCAAACTATAAGGCTATAGTATCCAAAACAGCATGGAACTGGTACAAAAGCAGACATATAGATCAATGGAACAGAATAGAAAACCCAGAATAAAGTCTTACACTTACAACCATCTGATATTGCAAGGTTGACAAAAACAAGCAATGGGGAAGGGACTCCCTATTCAATAAATGGTGTTGGAGTAACTGGCTAGCTATATGCAGAATAATGATACTGGACCCATACCTTTCATCACATACAAAAATTAACTGGAGATAGATGAAAGATTTAAATGTAAGACCTCAAGTGATAAAAATCCTAAAAGAAAACCTCAGAAGTACCCTTCTTGACACTGGCCTTGGGAAAGAATTTTTAACTAAGTCCCCAAAAGCAATTGCAATAAAAATAAAGAATGACAAGTGGGACCTCATAAAACTAAAGCGCTTTGGCACAGCAACAGAAATGATCAGCAGAGTCAACAGACAACCCACAGAACAGGAGAAAACATTTGCAAACTATGCATCCAACAAAGGTCTAATATCCAGAATCTATAAGGAACTTACACAAATCAACACAGAGAAACCAAATAACCCCATTAAAAAATGTGGAAAGAACATGAACACATACTTCTCAAAAGAAGACATATGAGTGACCAATGAACATATGAAAAAATGCTTCACATCACGAATTGTCAGAGAAGTGCAAATCAAAACCACAATGAGATACCCTCTCACACCAGTCAGAATGGCTATTAATAAAAAGTCAAAAACAACAGATGTTGGCAAGGCTGCAGAGAAAAGGGAATGTTTACACATTGTTGGTGGGAGCGTACATTAGTTCAGCCACTGTGGAAAGCAGTCTGGAGATTTCTCAAAGAACTTAAAACAGAGCTACCATTTGACCCAGTAATCCCATTATTGGATATATACCCAAAGGTAAAAAGACCATTCTACCAAAAGACACGTACACTGATATGTTCATTGCTGTGCTATTCGCAATAGCAAAGATATGGAATCAACCTAGGTGCCCATCAGTGGTGGACTGGATAAAGAAAATGTGGTACATATACACGATGGAATTCTACGCAGCCATAAACATGAGTGAAATCATGTCTTTTGCAGCAGCATAGATGGAGCTGGAGGCCATTATCCTAAGCAAATTAATGCAGGAACAGAAAACCAAATACCACATGTTCTCACTTATGAGCTAAACAGCAGGTACTCTTGGACATAAGGATGGGAACAACAGACACTGTGGACTACTAGAGGCAGGTGGAGGGAGAGGGGTGCGGGTTGAAGAACCACCTGTTGGGCATTACGCTCACTACCGGTGTGCAATATACTGACGTAACAAACTTGCACACATACCTCCATATGTAAAATTAAAGTTAAAACATTTAAAACATGAGTATCATTCTGATCTAAGTTTCTTGAGTTGTTCAAAGAATCATTCATTTTGTATCCTAAGAAAGCAATACCCAAAGAGGCCTTAAACGAGTTTTCTTTGAATAAGTAAAAGCAGAATAGTGTGACAACTCATAATTTCCAGAAATTGTGGTGGGTCTTGGAGGTTTGGGGAAAACAAACCTTAATGGTAATCTCCTTGTTTCAAAAAGTGAAATCCTTAAAATAAAAAAGGGGGTTTCCTTCCTTCCTGTATTTCTAGTATTGAAAAAGACAGATCTTACTCTTCACTGAGCCAGCTAAGTATTTTCCTCCCTATTCACCTAAACCCAGGACATACTCTGCCCTCTGTAGATTATTGCCATGTGAATTCTAAAGGAAATAGTATAGCCTATGTTGTGTCTACACATGTTTCTGTCGTATGAATGGCAGGGTGTAATATTAACATGAAAGGAATTTGAAAGCATGTTCTATGATCTTTTCCTCAAAGGGGAGCCAGATCAGGGAGAGTAAAGGAAAAAGGCCTTTAGTTGGGCTGCTGCACTGGCAGTTGGAACCTTTTCTGGAATATTTAGAGGAGAAAAAAGTCATCTGCAGCGAGGCCACTCACCAGCCTAGTGGGGCTCTGCTGCCTTCCGTGCCCACCATGGCTCAGGGCTCTACTCTCATCTGTGCCACTCTGGTACCCACAGCCCTTATATCAAGTATTTTTCTATTTCCACTCAAAAATTAAGAAGCTCCTATGGCAAACTCCAGACACTGAGCTGCTGAAGTGAGTGGTCTGAGTGGTTAGTGTGCTGGTTACAAAGTTGCTATGCTGGAGAGATTTGCCTTGAACTCTCAAACCCTGTATTTTCATGAACTGTCTTTTAGTGCTTTCTGTAGAGTGCAAGGTTTTTCAGGAATTAGTGTATCGTGTTTTAGCAGTGACACTTGTCTTATCAGTTGTTACCTTTCATTTCCTGACGAACTCATCTTGGTCTAGATTGTTGAGGGCCTTGCCAATAAAAGGAAAATCATTCAAATAAGAATAATGTCAATAAAGCCAAAATAGAACGTTTTCAAGGACAATCATGGCCTGAAGATACAGTGGCAATAAAGGTATTTTGAATAAAGTAACACCCACAGGCTGGGCATGGTGGCTCATGCCTGTAATACCAGCACTTTGGGAGGCTGAGGCAGGCAGATTGCTTGAGTTCAGGAATTTGAGCCTAGCCTGGGCAACAATGCCAAAACCTCGTCTCTACTAAAAATACAAAAAATTAGCCGGGTGTGCTGGCATGTGCCTATAGTCCCAGCTATTCGGGAGGCTGAGGTGGGAGAATCACCTGAGCCTGGGAGGTTGAGGCTGCAGTGAACCAAGATCAACCCACTGCACTCCAGTCTCGACAACCAGAGTGAGATGCTGTCTCAAAAAACAAAAAATACAAATAAAAAATTTGTTAAAAAAAAAAGTAGCACCCAGCACCAAAGAGGAAATAATAATGGTTTCCTGTAGACATAAGGCTAAGCAGTGTTTATAATGAAAAGATGACCTCCCTTCAGAGCTCCTCCAAGCTTAGGTGAAGTTGGTTGTGAGCAGGAGCAGTGGATTTCAAAATAATACACCTAGATTACCCTAAGAACACAAAATTCTTTTGACTTCACTTACAATTTTATACAAAAGCAGAAGTTACCAAAGATTACTTATCCTTCGTATTTACCACAATCTTTTTACCCCAACCCCTGTGTCTATGTGTAATTAAAGGAAGCTTGTCAAGTAAGCTACCTATTGAATACTTGGAATGAGAGGGGGTGTGCTGGGAGTTGGGGGACTGCTTGTGTGAAACGTTTCTCTCTCCTAGATTTAAAAGTTAGTCTTTGTTGCCAATCTGTTAACAGACAGTTTGTAAATGAAGGGGAAGAAAAATATATAAATTAGCTTTCTAATCAATCTGAAATTACAAATGTGAACCACAGCAGGGAAAAAATACTTGACCAAAAATATGTAAGTAAGTGGGTGCTGGGGAATCACAATTTTTAAATATCTCAAATTTTTGATATGAAAGTTCTATTTCAAAGTTTTCAAAATGATGCCGAATGTTCCTGCATACTGTGTTCCAAATGTATGTACACACAAGATGGAAACTGTGAAGTATGTGCCTTCAAAAAAGAAAAAAAAAACTGACATTTTACCTATATATATTTAACAGATTTATCAAGAACATATGTAAACATATATAAATACAGATATCTCATCAAGGAAGATTTAGGACATATGAATATGTGGCAGGGGTTGGAATGAACATAATTCTTTCCCAGAAGGGGAAGGGGGAACTATACTTAATTGGATCCAGCTACAACGTAATTGTAAGTCACTTCTCACCAAAAAGTACCTCCACTGCAAATTGTGGTGGATACATTTTCCATGTTTTTTGTTTATGTGGATTATCCAATTCATTTCTTGGTAGATAAAGCCTAAGAATAGAAAAAAAAATTATTACATTTTCTACTGGGGCTAACCGAAAAGCCACGCAGTTGGGTACCCACGTTAGAGCTGGAAGAAACAAAAAAAGAACCTCATCATGAATAGAACTTCGGCCCCTTTTTTGTGTCTCAGTTGGCTCCTTCCACCTTTTTAGTGAGACTTAAAAATCCTTTAATCTTCAGCAACACGTGAGTAACACATGCTGACTCTCTTACCATTGCTTTATATGGAATTAATGACATCCAAGTTTAATAAAATATCTCCATTTCTAAATGGGACAGAAATCAGTCAGGATAGACATGAATGAAAACCCAGGAATAAAATACTATATCTCTTTTAATTTATGGGTGAGGTTTGCAATTTTTTGAATTTTTACAATCAGACCTTGGAAATGACCTTGAGGAGTAGGATATAACTCCCACAGACTGAGCATTCCAATAATGGAACACTAGGCATGAATTGGTTAACCCATTTATGCCTAGTGTTCTAAATGATAGAAGTTAGCATTTTTGGCTAAACAACAATCTCATAAGTAACAAAAACAGCTTTACCAAGTAGTATGTAAATTTAAATGTTACAGAAATCTTTAGAAATGTATATAAAAGTAAGAATAAAAGTGATCTAGCTTATCACTTCTCCAAAATGAACATAGTGTTTTAAAGGAAAAAAACTATCCTTTAGCAAGAACCCCTTTTGAGGAGCAGCATCAAATGAAGCTTCACCCAGGTCTCATTTTGAGGGACTTTGCTCATGTTAGAAGAAAAAGCTTATTGCTTGTATGCATCTAAAAAAAAAAACAACAAAAAAAAAACTTGTAAAAACTTTCCATCAAATCCAAAGTTCACGCTATCAAAATCCATTAAATGTTTTGCATTGCAAGTATGTAGGCCAGAGGTTTAATTTGCCGTTGCCTTGCTGGACTTAAGGAGTTATTAGATCCAGTTCACATTTGAAGAAAATATTAGGACTGGATGTAACAATAACTATCAATTCATGCCACATATAATCATAGCCACTTCTTCAACTCTGACCTACATCATTTACAACAATTTTGTCCTTTTGTATTGAAGAGTATGGTTGACCCAAAAAAAAATCTCAATTTTTCACCATCACAAAACAAATGCTACTTATAGTGGAGAACTTCTAAACTGAGAAATGAGTTTCCAAATATGGTAGAAGGTTTTTTGGAACAATAATCTCCAAGCCCAGCTAATAACTTTTCAGAAAGTTTTCCCAATTCAGTTACTAGAAAGCCACATTTAAATGGCTATTTAAATAGACTATTACTTAATGATATTTTTTAGCTATATTCCTTAATACTGTGTCTTGTAACTTCTCCTAGATATAGGTGTGTCAGTCAGCTTTTCAGCTAGCTGAAGCCTCCCTAGGTCTTGCCTCACTTTAGCACAAAATTTGGTGGTGGTTCGTCATTGGTAAATCAGCACCTACTGACGGGGACCTGCCATACTGAAGGCGCTAAGCAGACTCATATTGAACTTCTTTGAGAGGAATTTACTACCACACTAAAAATCTGATTATAATACTTTTGAACTCATAACACAGTCCTATGGCATGGACCTTGAGGATACTGCAACAGAGGGTCTCAAGAACAAATGTATTCTTAAAATAACCAAAATAAGAGGAGTAAGGCAATGAAAAATGGTGGTTCAATAATTTTTTGCTTTCTATAAATTAAGTTTATGACAACCAGCAAAAGACTTGCCATTATACCTTATACATAGACGTTGAAGATTAGGCTGTTTCTATCGGTTTATATTATATTCATACCTGTTACTTTGAATAAAAGATGTGTTGAACCAGAAGAAAAATGGACAATTGTCATAGTATTTAGGAAGACTCTAAAAAGAAAAAAAAAAAAAAATTCAAAGTAAAACTGATCCCAAGAACTAATCATTCCAAAGAAATTAAAGTTCCTTCCTTTATTCCTTTATATATTTATCAATTATAACCATTAAATATGTAACACTCTGCAATCTATAACAATACACTCAAGATACAAAGGAGGAGGCTTGAAGAAAATGCTATTGTATTCTTTTGCTGTTTCTATCAACATTTTCAAGGAAGAGTATTTTTCCCATGATAGGTATTTAATTTAGATGCTGATATTTGAATCTGGTTTAGATAGTGCCAAACACACTCTACTAAGGACCTATGCCTATATAGACCCAAGTATATTGTAGTGAATTCTTATCATTTTTTTGTTGCCTCAGCATCCCTTTTAAATATAAATTGGACTTTCTGATAACAGAAGTGGGGTTCAGTCACCCTCAGCAGTTTCCAGTTCACCTCCTCCCAGTTTCTCCATGTGACTGATCCCGATGTCTGTCTTATACAACCTTCTCCTGGTGACCACTTCATTATGGGACAGCTAGATATAACCTACTTGACTCACCCCACAGACCCCCATACTCTACAGGGACCATGTGGATATATCAGTGACCACCTCTCAATCACAGCAGAGACTCATGGCTGCTTGCATGAAACCAAATTAGACCTCCCCGCAGGAAACCTGCTCAGGTAGCACCTTACATCCCAATAAAGGCTTCCACTCTCAGGTCCTTCCCCCTCTCTCGCTACTGCTCCCACCCATCAGTCGAGCACAGGTCCCCCTTCCAGTTGGCCCTGCGAAGCATGTTGCCCTCTTCTCTCTGGAATTAATAAAAAACTGCTTTGGTTATTTCATGTGTTGTATTGTGCTGCCTTCTCTGTTTCACCCAACTGAGTCACCCAAACCTAACTCTCTTTCCAGTCAGTGCTCCCAGCTACTCGGGAGGCTGAGGTGGGAGGATTGCTGGAGCCCAGGAGGTTGAAGTTACAGTTAGCTATGATCACGCCACTGCACTTCAGCCTGGGTAACAGAGTGAAACCCTGTCTCAATTTCTTAATTTTTTTAAAAAGGTGCAAAACAAAATGTAATCATTGCTATGCAGTAAAACATACTTTTTTTTTTTTTTTTAGCATCTTGGCTTTTACTTTTTTTGTTTATTTTGTATGTTTTGTATTTGAGAATACATGTAAATTAAGAAAAATTTAGAAAATTTACAATTAAAAAACAAACAAAAATTATTTACATTACATATGTTCTTTTAAAAAAATTTGTTATAGATCTGATTTATTGTTTTCCTCCCCCTCCCTTATTGGTAATTGTAGCAAAGCAAATCTTAAATAAAATCATTAGACCAGACAAGAACAATGGCAGAAGCTATTTTGTGATTACTCACCGAAGAGAAAAACTGCACCTTCACATCATCATACAGAGGGGGACCGTCGAATACATCAGTTAATACTCTGTCTGTTTCAGTGTCATGCAATATCTGTGAATGAACACATGGAATTGAGAACTATAAACCTAGATAATGATAACAATGAGGTTCCTTTTCACTTATCATGACTTCCTATATTTATCAAGTATTTTGGTTTCACAGCCCAATCACTACATGTATAAATTATAATCTTTTCTAGTTGCAATACTATTGTTTGTGTGTGTGTGTGTGTGTGTGTGTGTGTGTGTGTGTGTGTGTATGTTTTCGTTTGCTCTTTATTTTTTGAGACAGAGTCTCACTGTCACCCAGGCTGAAGTGCAGTGGTGTGATCTCGGCTCACTGCAACCTCTGCCTCCCAGGTTCAAGTGATTCTTCTGCCTCAGCCTCCCGAGTAGCTGGGACTATAGGCACATGCCACCACACCCAGCTAATTTTTGAATTTTTAGTAGAGATGGGGTTTCACTATTTTGGCCACCCTGGTCTCAAACTCCTGGCTTCAAGTGATCTGCCCGCCTGGGCCTCCCAAAGTGCTGGATTACAGGCATGAGCCACTGCACCCGGCCTGTTGTTTATGTCTTTTAAAGGCCAACATGTCTGAGGGTTATCATGAACCACTTTTCTTTTTCTTTTTTTTTTTTTTGAGACAGTCTCACTCTGTCACCAGGCTGGAGTGCAGTGGCATGATCTCAGCTCACTGCAACTTCCACCTCCTGGGTTCAAGTGATTCTCCAGCCTCAGCCTCCCAAGTACCTGGGACTACAGGCATGTGCCACCAAGCCCAACTAATTTTTTTTTATTTTTAGCAGAGATGGGGTTTCACCATGTTGGCCAGGATAGTCTCGATCTCCTGACCTCGTGATCCACCCGCCCTGGCCTCCCAAAATGCCGGGATTACAGGCAGGATTACAGTGCCCTGCCATGAGGCACTTTTCAAAAGTGTTTCACTTTTCAAAAGTATTGAATTTTCTATTAGACTTTAATCAATTAAATATTATTATTTAATGTGTGTCATTTGATGTTCATGTGTTAGGGCCTTTTTTGAGAATACATTAAGAAGCTCAATTTTAAAGCTAGCATTGACATTCAAAAAGCAATGCTTAACTCATCATGGTTTTTTATTTTCTAAATTTAAAAAATAACAATGGGGGTCTGTAACACTTGGGGGTTGGGCCTGCATGCCCCTTCCAAGGGAAGGGGAGAGTGGGGTCCCCCTGCTCATCATATTTTATCAGAACTCATGTATTTGTCAATGGGATCTTTGAACTTGACCAGTGCAGGCTGCTGGATGGAGTGACCAAAGATAGGTCAAGTTTTGGAATGAATGACTTTGAAGCTATATTATTTCTTTGACTCACTCTCATATAAATAATAGCACCCACAATAAGAAAGGTCTATGCGAGGTCCTGTGAAAAACACAAAAGGAGGTACAGACTCGGTTGGCCCCTTCAGGGAGCTGTACACATAAGAAACAATAGTAGAATGGTACATAACTGAATATGATGATAAAGACTGGGTTTGCTGTTAGGCACTACCGGGGACTAGTTAACAGAAGGTGCAGAATGCGAAAATTTCATTAAGAAGGTAGAAACTGAATTGGGAATGAAGCAGTTTAGATCAAGGAAGAAGAGCTCTGAAAATCCAAAGGGAGGGAAAAAGACCAGCAATAACACAAGGTAGAAATTAGAAACATGGGCCGGGCGCGGCGGCTCCCGCCTGTGATCCCGGCACTTTGGGAGGCTGAGGCGGGCAGATCACCTGAGGTCGGGAGTCCGAGACCAGCCTGACCAACACGGAGAAACCCCGTCTCTACTAAAAATACAAAATTAGCCGGGCGTGGTAGCGCATGCCTGTAATCCCAGCTACTTGGGAGGCTGAGGCAGGAGAATCGCTTGAACCCAGGAGGCAGAGGTTGTGGTGAGCTGAGATTGTGCCAGTGCACTCCAGCCTGGGCAACAAAAGCAAAACTCCGTCTCAAAAGAAAAGAAAGAAAGAAAGAAAGAAAGAAAGAAAGAAAGAAAGAAAGAAAGAAAGAAAGAAAATCGGAAAAACAACAACAAACAATGTCGGGCAGTGTGGCTCATGTTTATAATCCCAGCAGGTTGCAAGGCTGAGGTGGACAGGTTGCTTGAGCCCAGGGGTCTGAAACCAGCCTGGGCAACATAGCAAGTCTCAGCCTCTACAAAAAATAAAAAAAAATAAAAAAATAAAAAAAATTGGGGGATTGCTTGAGCTCAGGAGGTTGAGGCTGCAGTGAGCCATGATCACGCCACTGCGCTACAGCCTGGGCGACAGAATGAGACCCTGGCTCCAGGCAAAAAAAAAAAAAAAAAAGGAAAGGAAGAAAGGAAGGAAAGAAATAACCAACTAACTAACTAAATTAGAGCTGTGTTCCAAGAGCCAAAAGGGATGACCCAGTTTATTTGGAATGAAGTCTGCTGGTCAAGCTACTGATGGAAAAAAGCTCAGGTATTACGTTAGGGCTATTACATCTTAAGAGCTCAAGAGCCAAGGAAATAAGAGTGAAGGTGTTGAAAAATACGGTGGGGCATTTCCTATGGGACAGAGAGGCCTGGTAATTATCACACATAACACTTATTTAGTGATTTATAGTTTACAAAGAAACTTTCTATATATTATCTAATTTAATTCCCATCACACTTGAGATGTGATATTGATTTTACAGATAAGGACGTTGAGCCAGAGGTGTGAACTGGCTCTGACCACGGGCACACAGTGTGTCTTCTGCTCAACCTACAGTTTTTCACAATGAGAGCAATATTTCAGGACGCATATTTCACGACTCTATACATTGCATTACATAAGGAGAAAGAAAGGGTAAGGAGACCACTGCAGAAATCCAGGCATAAGCAAAGGAGATTCTGCACAATTAGTGGCAGTGAGAACAGAAAGGAAGGAGAACACTGAAAGCTCTCAAAGGCATCATCTACAGAGATTGATGACTGACTGGATTTAAGGGGCTGAGGCAAAGAGAATCAAAGCCCAAGGCCTGAGTGGAAGAAGGCTGGTGCCATTTACAGAAGCAGAGAGAAAGCTCATTGATAATTCAGACTGGCTGATGCATTTGAGTCGGAGTGGAAACTGTTCATGTTGTAGCTCCTGCATCTACAACTCAGTGGGTGCTCAAAAATATCTGTTCAGTCAATGAATAAATAATAGTTGAAGTAAGGGGAATGGGTCATTCTTTAACTAAGAATAAAGCATTTGCTAAGAACAGAAAGCCAAGGGTCAGGCCTGGGTGAATGCTCTCAGTCAGGAGAGGCCAAAAAAGCCGGGGTGGGGGGAGGGGGAAGGGGATGGCAGGGAACAGGGTCAGTAATAGGAGAATTTGAGACAAAGTCCTGGGTAGGAATTCTAAAAGTTTATGGTTATTAGACCATGAAGGATGCTTTCTTGCTATTTCAGAAAAGGTATATAGTTTTAGGCATTTCTTCATTGTAGCAAAACATTGACTACCAGGTCCCTTTTGCTTTGGATAAAGAGGTTCCTCCTCAGTTCATTCACTCTTGCATTGTTTCTCACAGGGTCATCCCACAGAACCTCTGACTTAGAATCACTTGGGACATTGCTAAGTCTATAGATTCCTGGGCCCCATTCCAGATTTCCCAAATCATACTTTGGGGGTACAACCTAGGAATATAAATCTTTACAAGCTCTTTGGTGGTTTTCATGCACACTAAAATTTTAGAATCAGTGCTATATAATAAAAGAAAATGACTGGGAAGAAGAGAATTGGCTAAAAATGACCGGGTATGTAAATTAAAATCCTTAATACATTCCTGGGAACACACTCAGCATTTGTAGAAGTGTGAAAGGCAAAGCAACACTGAACAGAAATAAATTCTGGAAAGCACCCTGAGAAAACTGTTTTGAGCAAACAGGTTAATTTATCTCTGGTTTGCATCCAAACCCAGTGACACCAAGTTGATGGTAACCAGAAAGCGTTAGGGAATCTCTTTATGGTGAGTGATAGTTTAGGGAGGTGAACATTGCTGGTTTGACATTCAGCCTTAAAACAAACATCAGATTTTTTTCAATTCACGTGTTTTCTCTTACCGAACAATTTCCTAATGAAGTACTGGAAAAAGACAACCTTTTTCTCCATTACTGTTTGGACTTTTAGATCACACACATCGCCTGTTCCAACACCTAAATGAAATTAAAAAGGTAGGTTGGTTAGCGTGAAGATCAATATGTCTCACTAATTAACATCATGGATTAAAAAGAGAAAAAATTATCCAAGCTAACAATGTATCAGTAGTTACTTATTTGGTCTTGCATGGATTTTGTCTTTGAAAGACAAGGTTTCAAGCCAAGTTCTGTCTCCTAAAGCAGATTTTATAAGACTAGAGAAGAGAAAAAAATACATAGAGTTCAGCTTCAAAGACTTAGAATCCCATCACTTTATCTTTCCAGAAAAAATATTTAGGGAAGGTAAGATGGGCATGGTGGCTCACGCCTATAATCCTAGCACTTTGGGAGGTCAAGGTGGATGGATTACTTGAGGTCAGGAGTTCTAAACCAGTCTGGCCAAGATGGTGAAACCCCATCTCTATTAAAAATACAAACATTAGCCAGGCGTGGTGACACATGCCTGTAATCCTAGCTACTCAGGAGGCAGAGACAGGAGAATTACTTGAACCTGGGAAGAAGAGGTTGCAGTGAGCTGAGATCACACCACTGCACTCCAGCCTGGGCGACAGAACAAGACTCTGTCTCCAAAAAAATAAAAGAAAAAGAAAAAGAAAATTCAGGGAAGGTGACTTGCAACCTTTCTTGCTAATGTGTTGCTTTCTTCAGACTTCTAATCAGAATGATTCTTAATAATAAATACTGTAGTTTAACTACTTTAGCCCTACTTTAAGGCCAGTTCCTGATGCAATCTCTATAAAAATATAGGATAGTTAGATCCAAAAATTCCCGTGGTGTTCAGTGTATATTTACAGACAAAGGCTTTTTTGTTCCTTTTTTTCAATTCAAATGACCCACTTCCCTTAGCGTTTCCTCAAAGACTTGGTTTCTCAGCCAATTAATTTTTGTATTGCTTGCCTCTCAACTCTACATTAATTTTAATTCAAATATGTACAAAACTGAAGGTAGAAAATTAAAACAAATATTTTAATAAATTAGTGTATTATCTTTGATAGATCATCTCATATGCTGTTTGTTTTCATTTAATTTTGTTTTCACTAACACCATGATATTCATTTGTCATTAGAAATCACAGTATCTTGCCTCAGTTCCCTCTTTCCCATTCCATTTGTAGAACTTCTTTCTATTGATGTCGACCAGAAATCAGTGAAATGTAGAACTAAACTCAAAAGGCTAAAAATCCTAGGCTGTCTGTGTGGACACCAGCATCCTGGCACCATGGCACCTATAGCACCCAGCACTGGCACCATCTCAGGTCCACAAGCTGGCTGCTAGCAGAGGTTTGCCTCAGGGGTTCCGAAGCATAGCCTCCCTGCTACCTCTCTGGCAGCGGGAGTGGTGAGGCCCCATCCCTTCCACGCAGACACATCCTGCTTTCCCACCTCCCCTGAGTGTAAGCTGTCAGTGAGAGGGTTACAGATGAGGAGAGAGGGGAAAGGGAGAGCCCAAGGTGATGAGAAAAAAAAATATGCCTGTAAAAGAAGGTGAGAAAATGATACGATCTGGAGACACCTTCACCAAGGCAAACTCTGAACTACAGGTGGTTTGAGAAATAAACAGTCTTGAGGGTACATGGTCCTCCTCCTCCCTCATCAGAGGCTCACTCCGCCCTGAAAAGTCCACCGTGGTTTGAGACCAGAGGAGCAATGAGAACGGGAGAGATGGGAAGGGGATGAAGTCCCCCAAATTGGTGATGGAAAAGAAAAAGTGAAGAACATCTAAGGGCTGGCAATCAATGGGCAATTGCAGGAGGAGTTCATGTGTGAGGACATGTAAAAAGACAGGTATGAGTCAGGATCATTTGCATATACAACTATGAGCAAAACCCTCCCAGAGTGGGAACATTGGCCCTCCTGCCCAATTCTTCATTTATACGTAAAGCACTTACCACGAATCGAATAAATAATGAATCTTTTTATAAAGAGTATCCGTCTTGGAGGGAGATTCCAGTTGTAGAGATGTTTCACTTGTGCAAAATATCCAACATATCTATTCTGAAAAGCAACAGAAACCTTACTTTAAGTGGAGATTGAAAAGTCTAAAGTCTGCATTCTTTTTTTTTTTTTTTTTTTTTTTTCGGATAAAGCTTGTTAAGGGAGGTAAGTAATTAAGAAAACATTTACTGGATGCCATTATATAACCAGGCGTTTTTCGGGATGCTGCCTCACAACTATCTACCTTGAGGGAAAAATACTGAATTCAGAGCAATGGGGAAGTAACAAGGATGCAGCCAGGTCCTGTTTATAGGCTGCTTAAGGTTGAGACGGCAACTAATCAGAAGCACAACAAAACAGTTACAGCATCATCAGTGTCCAGAGAGAAGCTTAGCTGTGACTGAGTTGGAGGAAGGCTTGTGGTTTGGCAAAGAGCAGCTTCCTGGGCATGAGAGAATATGGTATAAGTGAAAACTCCAGAGGATACCTCCATACCTCAAGCAGGCTTCCTGTCATTCTTCTTTGGTTCCTGACAGCTAGAATTTCTTCACTTTGCATTTCCTCAGTTCTGTTTTCACAAGGAAGCCCTGGAATTCTCTTAGCCTTGTCCTTTCCCCGGGGCAAGCTGTTCACAATGGCTCTCCCCTGAATCTTTCTTCAAGGCATTGAAGAGCTCTGGTCCTGAATCAACTGGTTCAGAATCCAAAAGTTGGCCATCATGGCGGCTCCCGCCTGTAATCTCAGCACTTTGGGAGGCCAAGGTGGGCAGATCACCTGGCATCAGGAGATTGAGACCAGCCTCGCCAACAGGGTGAAACCCTGTCTCTACTAAAAGTACAAAAATAGGCCACATGTGGTGATGGGCACCTATAATCCCAGCCACTCGGGAAGCCGAGGCAGGAGAACCATGTGAAGGCAAGAGGTCGAGGTTGCAGTGAGCTGAGATTGCACCACTGCACTCCAGTCTGGGCGACAGAGCTAGACGCTGTCTCAAAAATTAAAAACAAAACAAAACTCATAAGTTCACAGACTGTTCCTTAGCCATTGGGAAATGTTCATTAAAGTAACTAACCCACCGGTGTTCATTAAGGTAACTAACTGCCATACTTTCCTTTAGGAAGGGCCATTCATGAGGAAGGCTCATGAAAGTTCTTAACTTAGGAGTAGATGCAGTCAGTAGAATGGCCCACAATGCAGGATCAGAATGCAATGGTGTCTGAGACTCACCAGCAGACCCAGAAGCCACTCTGTCCTGAGGTCTTGCCAACACAGCTCTCAAACTTGCAGCTGAGTCCCTGTGTTGCTTTTTCAGTGAATCAGAAGAGATTCAGTTGCAACCTTTGCTGTGCTAGTTCTGGACTAACGTTAGGGAAACTGTGCAGGACTGCAGAAGAGATGGGGATGGGGAGATGTGTGGGGAGAGTTGTTGAAGGAGCTCCATTTAGCATCCCCTTAGCTTCTGCCACTAGATTCTCCACCTCTCCCTAAGGGCTGTAAACCACCAGGGCCCTCAAGCTGCTTGTACTCCCATGCTTCCTTCTCCTACAACTTAAGACAACGTGGACTTGTAGTAGAAATTAATACAACCAACACATAGGAGGCACTCACTACAAACAAAGAAGATATTATGAGAAAAGGGTGAAAAGATGGGTAAGCCATGGGCTTTGCCTTTAAAGGGGATACAGAAGTCACCACTTCAAATAACTAGAGAATAACGCAAAGTGATGTAGTCCATAAAAGAAACACAAAGGGCTTTAAGAATTGAAAAAGCAAGAGACGACTTTAGGCTGAGAAGGGAAAGGGACTCTAGGAAAAGGGGCACAAGCAATGGCATGAGGGTATCAAGTGGCCATAGGCTGGGAAACAGCACACAGTCTAAATGTATGGCGTGTGGGATGTGTGCATGCACACAGCGGAAGAAAAGGTTGGAAAAGTCAAACTGCGGCTCCCAAGTGACAGGTTGAAACATTTAGTTTATTGCCATTGGCAGTGGGGACATAGTATGGATTTTGAGCATGGAAATGGCAGGATTAGGGCTGCACTTCAGTAAATTCACCTATTACTTTTAGCTTAGGGTCTATGACTATCTTTGTTTTGTTTTGTTTTGTTTGGGGCTTGGGTGTGGGAGGAAAGTATCAGTGGATAAGGCTGAGTTCTCCTGGCCCAAACTCAAGGTTTGGGGCCAGTAGTTAGAGTGTTCTTCTCATAGGGCCAAGAGTACTCACTCAGCTTCCACCACTTAAAGAAAAACTCATTTACAGCCACATCCGAATCTATTCAGGAATTCCCAACCCACTCTCACTTCGGTTTCAGGGGCAACATAGAAAAGGCAATAGAAATGAGAGGCTGTGCACAGCACGGGCTTCAGAGACTGACATCGAGATTTCAGTCCTTGGTTCAACAGTTACTTTCTCTGAACCTCAATTTTCTAATTTATAAGATGAAAATCATAGTAGGACCTACTCAAAGGGTTATGGAGAATATTAAATGAGATAGTGAATAGACAACTCTTAGAATAGTTCAGCAAAGTCTAGAACGTTGTAAGTGCTATAGGATAAACATCCTGGTTTCTGCAATAAACAATTACAAGTAATAAAAAATGGTGAGAAATTTATGAACTTAGATTCTTAAAAGAGACTTAGGAGACACAGCAACCAAATGAAATATGTGGACTTTGTTTGAATTCTGATTAAACAAACTACACTTTCAAAGATTTTAAGACAATTTTGGAAACAACCATGGACTACAAATTTGATTTTAAGGATTTTTAAGGTATAATATTTTTAGATATGATAAAAAGTGTTAAGGTTTTTTGTTGTTGTTTTAAGAGTACTTAAATGTCATACTAAAATGCTTGTGGGATAAAATGATCTGATGACTGAAATTTCCTTTAAAATTAACCCAGATTTAGGGAAAGCAAGAGTGGTGAGTGGGGTTGGGGGGTTTGAGTGGAGTGGGAAAAGAATGGATGAAACATGGCTGGCTGCAGGCTGAAATGACTGTTGCAGCAATGTGATGACTATGTGAGGATATATTGTATGATTCTCTGCTTTTGTATATGATTAAAATTTTCCATAACAAAATATTTCTAAAAGAAGAATCAGAATAACAGTGTATATTTCCTATGGGTGTTATGGGTATTAAATGAGATATGTGAAAGTGCAATACTGTCTGATATACAGAAGGGGTTTTGAAAAGTTTATTTCCCCTTTTATTTTCTCTTTTAAAATACACCTCCCTGACAACACACAGAAAAGACACACACACACACACACACACACACACACACCCCAGGAGTCATCCAAAAACAGACTTTGTGATGTTTTGCAAGGGTTGAATTGCCCTAATAAGGGTTTGTGAAGGACTTGGATCTTTTTTAACATTGAAATCAAAGGCTGATGATTTTAGATAAACTTCAGGGTCCTGGAGCCTTGGGTACTGGACCTTCCTACTTTGGGAAAATAATCAACTCCTGAGCTCCATAAACAATAACCAGTATAGAATAGAAAGCAAGATTCTCTGGGGAGAAGACAGAGTCCCCAACATGTGGGCTGCACCTGAAGCATGACCCTCAGACTCAGGAAGGGACCAAGGCCTGTTGCAGGGCACCCAACTGCTGCTACCTGATCACCAAAGGAGAAGAGTCTAAAATGAAACCAAGTAACAGGTGGCAACCTTAACCCACTCCCCTAAAAAAAAAACCTTCCATTTTTAAAAAGAAAACTTACCTGAGAAGGAGTTTCTACTCCCTGAAATTTATTGCTGTTGGTTTTATCTGTTCACCTTTCTCCAAAATAATACAGGCTTTCCTACAAAAACAAACGAACAAAAAGGGTACAATACAGCCATGGTTCATCTGCACATGTTCCTTTCCTATATTAGGTACCCTTAGTGTTTCTACACCCACCTTCTTTCCTAAAGTCAGTGATTTGTTTGTTTGTTTGTTTTTTGGTAGAGTCTTGCTCTGTGACCCAGACTGGAGTACAGTGGCAGGATCTAAGCTCACTGCAACCTCTGCCTCCTGGGTTCAAGTGATTCTACTGCCTCAGCCTTCTGAGTAGCTGGGACTACAGGTGTGTACCACCATGCCCAGCTAATTTTTTGTATTTTTAGTAGAGATAGAGGTTTCACCATGTTGGCCAGGCTTCTCTCAAACTCCTGACCTCAAGAGATCCGCCTGCCTCAGCTTTCCAAGTGCTGGGATTAAAGACGTGAGCCACCCGTGTCCAGCCGCAGTGATCTTCGGGCAGAGGCTATCCAAAATAACAAAATTAGGACTTCTCTCATTCAAGGATTCACAAATTCAGAAAATTTTAGAGCTAGAAAGACCTTAGGAAGCATCTGGTCCAACCCTTCTTTCCATATTACAAATGACAACACTGAGACCAAAAGAAAACCAAGCAATCCGCCCTGGAGATGCTGCAGCCAGTTAGAAGCAGCTCAGGCCAGGAATACAGGTCCCTGGATCTCAGTCTAGGGCTCTGGATCAATAGCTGTCAATGACTTTCAAACCGTTTGTTTTTTAAGCTGCAATCCACACTAATAAACCTAGGAGAAACACAGACACACACCAATATTTAAACCTTTTTATATTTTCTATTCTGCTCTATTCCATTTTATTTTTAAAAGATGTCAGTTACAACCCAGTAACTTTATTTTACAACTCACTGATAAATCATGATCCATAGCTTGAAAAACACTATCCTAGAACATCCATTTTCAAAATCTGTGTACCTCAAATTAGAGAAACCAAACGTGGTGGAATTGGAGTGCTGGGCATTGCGCATAACCACCACCTCTTCCCGAGACTGTAGGCCAAACAACTCCAGCAGAGCTGCTGGAAATGGCAGCAATTCAGCAAGAAAATGGCGGAAAAGAAAATGACTGAGAACTCTGCTTGAAGTGGAAACAGCCTACCTTGTGTTATCAGAAATTTCTAGAGATCACAGACTCCACATGTATTGACTAAGCAAAGACATTTACATTCAGGAGAGGCTTTGTTTTGAGTTGTGAAATGTTGCTTTTTATCTACTTAAGAGTTGTGAGGATGGTCAAGGCTGGAGTTATCTAATTAAGCTTGATACTATCCTCATGAGGAAGGAAGAAGTCATGGTACTGGCAGGAGTAAGAGCAGAGCCACGTGAAGTGAGGGAAGCATCTTGATTACTGAATTTTTTTCATCTGTATAACATGGCTTTACTCCCCTCACCTTCATCCTTCCCCATCAGGTCTTGTCTTTATTTAAAATGTTGATATTGTATACATCATAGATTTTTTGCATTAATTTTTGTTGTTAAAATATTGCATTGAAATTATTTTAACTATTGCAATTTTTAGCATTCCCTTAAATTTTGCACCTCATTGACCTCACTCTAGTCCCAGCCCAAAGGGATTCTTAAGTCAGCTACTAACTAGTGCATGTTAAACAAGAAAGTATCGAAAACAGAGTTTCTAAAAACTGCTTCTCTAATTATAATTTTACTAAGCATCATGACTAAAATAATCATCTTAATGTCCTACCAGTGATGTTTCAGAACTAGCAAACTCAATTATCATAAGACAAAGTTTGTAGAACATCTTTAATACCTCTGCAGTTAAAAATATTTTGGAGGCAATAAGGAAGGCACAAATCATAGTTCCAGTTCTTCCTAGAAAAGAAGTTAGTTCAAGGAACATACGTGGTATAAAAATACACTCAGAAATATTCAAGGAGTGCATTTTAAGTTGATTTTCTTTCTTTTTTTGAGACAGGGTCTTGCTGTGTTACGCAGGCTGGAGTGCAGTGGCACAATCTTGGCTCACTGCAACCTCTGCCTCACAGGTGAAAAACACGCAAATTACATTTACAGTAAAAATATCTCACCACCTGTAGACAAAAGGCCACGATGAGGTTTTTACTAAATCTATAAGAAAGCAACAATTCATGTCTTTTATAATTTTTTTGGATAATAGGAAAAAAGAAAAATTCCCAACTCATTTAGTACATTAATATAACTGATTCCAAAATTGCACAAATACAGTAGAAGAAAAGATAACTTTACACCAGTCTCACATATAAATGTAGATTTAAAAATATACATATATTTTCAAAGTGAATTCAGCAATGTAGAAACACCAAGTGCCATTTCTCTTAACGATGCAAGGATGTTTTTTCCAAGATGGCAGATGACAGGCTTTTAGCATGCCTCAGTCATTTGGCAGTAGTAAGCAAGTACATAAAGACCAACTCTGTGAGCTTTCATTCAAGAAAGAAAATGGCAATTCCCCGGAATTATAAAGGACATCCCAGATCCTGGGGAGGACAAGGCAGGCAAGCAGCCCTCATGACAGCATTCAATTGATAAAAGTGAGTGGAGTGAAGCCTCAGTATGTGAGAGAGACAGACAGCACCCCTCCGTCTCATCTTCCCACTGGAGATCCAAGCAACCCGGGCAGAGGAAGAGTATTTTTCTCCCAAGCCTTGGAGCTAACTTGAGGAGAAACTTGGAGACTTTGCGAGGGAAAGACACAGGGAAACGCTGTCAGCATTTTCCCAAACCTGGACCGAGAGCTGGACAAGACTGGGGGATTTTCCCTATCTGGCTCCACCCATCTTATGCCCCCAATCCCCCTATCCCTAGGGCTGAGGAGGGAGCTCCAATTAATGTGCACTCCGGAAATCAGCCCATTGCCTGAGGCCACAGAGAGCTCCTCCCAATAAACAAGGATCAAGTAAGTAGCCAGCAGCTCTGGCAACAGCCAGCTCTTACCCATGGCGCCATCTACTGGCTTGTAGGTCAAACCACACACCCAGTATAAAACCTGCAGACAGAAGTGCATGGGGCTACAGAAGCAAAGCCAAAAAAGCCTACCTAGCAGGCTCTACAGTCCACCCCTAGGGAGGAGGGAAAGGAAAAGAAGAAAATAATAATAATAATAATACAGGAGAGGAAAGAAAAAGAAAAAGTCCTACCCAAACAAAAATAATTACACAAATTAGAAGTGCTAGCATCTCCAGCTAAGAAGGACCCGTGCAAGAATTCAGGCACCATGAGAAATCTGAATGCAGTGACACTAACAAAGGATCACACTAGCTCTCTGGCAATGCTTCCTACCAAAATGAAAACTGAGAAATGACAATAAACAATTCAAAGCTTGGGATGCAAGGAAGCTCAATGAGATTAAAGCTTGAAATCAACAAAAAGAAACTTCTAAATCAATCCAGGAAATGAAGGAAGAGATAAACATCTTAATAAGAAATCAATCAGAACTTCTGGAATTAAAAAAACTCACTTAAGGAATTTCAAAATACAAGTGAAAGCTTTATCAATAGACGGGACAAAGTAGAAAACATAATTTCAGAGCTTGAAGACTGGTCTTTCGAACCAATCCAGTCAGACAAAAATAAAGAAAAAAGATTTTTTAAAAGTGAAGAAAGTCAGAAATATGAGATTCTGTAAAGTGACCAAACCTGCAAATTACTGGCATTCCCTAGAGAGAAAGAGAAAAAGAAAAGAACCTGGAAAACATATTTCATTTCTTGAAAATAATTCAAGAAAATTTATTAAATCTTACTAGATAGACATCTAAGTACAGTGAAGCCAGACAGCGCCTGTGAGATATATAAACAATGAACATTACCAAGGCATATATTCACCAGACTGTCACTGTCAAAGAAAAGCCCTGGAGGCACTAGAGAAAAAGGCCAGATCACATACAAAGTTAGCCCGTCAGGATAACAGCAGACTGCTCAGCAGAAACTTTACAAGCCAGGAGAGATTGAGGGGTCTATTTTCAGAATTCTTAAAGAAAATAAATCATAATCAAGAGATTTATATACTGCCAAACTAAGCTTCATGAGTGAAGGAGAAATAAAAACATTTTTTCTAGAGAAGCAAATGCCAAGAGAGTTCATTACCACTAGATCAGTCTTACAAGAGATGCCTAAGGGAGTTCTAAACATGGAAATGAAAGAATGATACCTGCTGTCATAAAAACACACTTAAGTACATAGCTCACAGACCCTATAAAACAACCATACAATAGAAAGTACTGAAAAAAAAAAAAACCACAGCTAACGATTTCATGATAGGGTGAAAATCTCACATGTCAATATTAACCTTGAATGTAAATGGTTTAAACACACCACTTAAAAGTCACAGAGTGGGCTGGGTGCGGTGGCTCATTCCTGTAATCCCAGCACTTTGGGAGGCCAAGGTGGGCAGATCACGAGGTCAGGAGATCAAGACCATCCTGGCCATCATGGTGAAACCCTGTCTCTACTAAAAATGTAAAAATTAGCCAGGCGAGGTGGCACATGCCTATAATCCCAGCTACTCAGGAGGCTGAGGCAGGAGAATCACTTGAATCCAGGAGTCAGAGGTTGTGGTGAGCCAGTATCGTGCCACTGCACTCTAGTCTGATGATAGAGTGAGATTCTGTCTAAAAAAAAACCAACAAAAAACAAAAAACAGGCTGGGTACGGTGGCTCATGCCTGTAATCCCAGCACTTTGGGAGGCCGAGGTGGGTGGATCACCTGAGGTCAGGCGTTCGAGAGCAGCCTGGCCAACATGGTGAAACCCCATCTCCACTAAAAATACAAAAATTAGCTGGGCATGGTGACAGGCACTTGTAATCCCAGCTACTTGGGAGGCTGAGGCAGGAGAGTTGCTTGAACTTGGGAGGTGGAGGTTGCAGTGAGCCAAGATTCCGCCATTGCACTCCAGCCTGGGCAACAAGAGCGAAACTCCATCTCAAAAAAAAAAAAAAGAAAGAAATCATTCCCTTTGCAGCATCATAGATGCAGCTGGAAGTCATTATCCTGAGCAAATTAATGCAGGAACAAAAAACCAAATACCATATGTTCTCACTCATAAGTGAAAGCTAAACAATGGGTGTTCATGGACATCAAGATGGCAATAATGGACACTGGGCAGTTCTAGAGGGGACTCAGCAGAAAAGGGCATAGGCTGAAAAACTAACTATTGGGTCCTATGCACAGTACCTGGGTGATGCAATCAATCATACCCCAAATCTCAGCATCACACAATATTACCAATAAACCTGCACACGTACTTCTGAATCTAAAATAAAAGTTACATTGTACCAAAAAAAACTAAGCTCAAAAAGGAAAAAAAAAAGTGTTTTGCCCATTAAAAGACAAGTAATAAAAGAGTACAAGAATCATCCTATATCAGAAATCTATATTAATGCAATTTATATGCAGGCTGGATAGCACCCAAGCAAAGAAGGCTTTGCTTGCAGAAGGCTTGTGGAACCCTGTTGAGGCTGCATCTTCTTCACAGCCATCAGATTGTTCCCTGAGGTATCTGCTTAGCAGTGCACAGGCTATTTACATGGAGGGCTTTGGGGAGCTGTTGGGTTTGGGTTTGGCTGGGGCATGAGTGTTGGCTGTGGGATCTGTCACAACCTGGTCCTATGGGACACCCAGTCTGGGATCCTTCTTCCCAGACCACCATCCTGCCTGTCACCGCTCCTATGGCAGGTCCACAGCTGCTTGCTGGAAGGGTGTTGGGAAGTGTTGGTCCTCCAGCTGTCACATCCTCCTGTTCAGCTGAATCCCAGCGATCCTCACTTAGAGTCTGGGTCTCAGAAGGCTGTGGCCCTGGGTTCTTGGCTGGCTGAGTTGGTGCTTTTGTAGCCTCTGGGGCTCTTGTATGTGAGGCCTGACCTGAGTTGCTTCAGGAAACTTTTGCCACTGAGGCTGCCTCCTGCTTAAGAGCAGAGCCTTTGTGTGGAGATCTGGCTGGCCTCCCTGGCGCCCAGCCTGTCCTGTCCTGTTATGTCTGGGTTTGAGGCTGTGTGGAGGGCTCTCTTCCCATAGAGGAGGCAAGGCCAGTCATGTGGGTCAGAGTGAAGCATGGCGATCCCAGCTGGCTCTGCCCGTCCTTTGACTGCAGGAGTCTGAGAATGACCAGGCCTGGGGAGCTGCCCTTCCTGGGAAACAGCTTTTCTCCTCCCCTATTGTGGAGTTTCTGGATGTGACCCAGAGGGCGCTGGGCCTCTGTAGCATGTGCTGGGTGTAGCCGTGTGATTCAGGGTGGGAGGTGCGGGGGATCATCTGCTCTGAGCCAGGTAAGACCTGGACAGGACTGGGGCAGCCCTCAAAGAAGCCAGGTCTGATGGGAGAATAAGCATGGGTAGGGAGGGGACAGGGTCACTAGGGCTGTGTGTCACCTGTTCTTGCTGCTTGGTCTGCCCTGGGAGTGAGAACAGAGGTGGAGGTTGCTGTGGACCCACTTTGGCTTCCGAAAAGCAGGTGTTCATGTGGGGAGAAAGGTGGGTGGGGGACAAAGCTGGTCTCTGAGGTGTTGAGTGGTTGTTTGTATGTCTTTGTCCTTTTTCTCTCTGCTGTCCCCAACAGCTCTGCTGTACCAGCTCATTGACCAAATACGTCACTCAGAGCATCCTGGTCCTACACACGAGTGTTAAGGCCCCTGAAGGGCCAGAGAGGGTTTAGGAGTTTCTCAGAAGCCTGAGCCCGGTGTGAGAGGGCACCAGAGTCACTGAGAACAGACCATTTGAAAAGTCAGGCAGAGGGATCCTGGGCCCTGAGTGTGCCTGCCTGGCCTGAGGTAACCAGGCCAACAGGGCCAGGGCCTCAATAGAGCTTAGCTGCTGAGCTTGGCAGTTGGCCAGTTGCTCTCGGTGGAGGCAGGAACATCCTGATTCCCCAACCCCTGTCTTTTGGTCTCCAGGATC